TCACGAATTTTATGTAAAATTAAAAGTTTGATAGTTGAAAGCTGTCAAATGGACTATGCATTTTTCTAAAAATGAGACAATCTTTTTAAAAATGCCCCTGACTAAATTTTTAGACATGCTGATCCTGAATTTCATGTCGAATTAAAACTTTGAGCTGCCAAGTAATGGGCTGTTCATTCTTCTAAAAATTAGAAAATACTTTTTAAAACATTACTGATAAAGGGTTTATACACGCTAGTCACAAATTTTACGCCAAATAAAAACCTTAAGAGTTGCCAGCTGTCGAATGGGGTGCCATTTTTTCTAGAAACAAGGAAAGTTGACCAAGAATTAAACGAACTAGGTTTTAAGGCTCACTGATCTCGCGGTCATATCATATTGAAATTTTTTCATTTGACAACTATCAAATAAACTGCCAATTTCATTCGAGTGACACAATATATTTGTTTAGCCAAATTAACGATTTAGTGTATTTAAAATGAATTTATGATCAAATTATGAAATAATAACAGTAATTATCTATATTTATAAATCGGGGATAGATAGGGATACATGCCCTGCAGGGAGTGACGTTAGCTTATACCTAACTTTAGTCTGTTTACGCGAACACTACTGCTAACTATTAACTGTGTATTTTGTTCGAAAAAAGCTAACTACTTTTGTGGGGCGATGGCCGCAAAAAAGTCAGACCTGGATACCTCTGCATTACATGTCAACTAACTTGTAACTAACTACTTTTGGACATAAAATATCAATAAGAAAAACAAAATATTTTTTTGTTTTTTTTCTTTTTTATTTACTTTATTTTATTACATTTCATATTTGTTTACATATTCTGCTCTGGGTGGCCCCATATTCGAACACCGTCAGACATAACTTCAAAATGATAGTATAAAATTTCGATCTTCCTTTTATTTGTCCTGAATATGAAAAAGAATCTGCGAAGTTCAGAAAAAAAGTGTATTGAAAGTAATTTTTGTATGAGGATATTTAATAGAAACTTGTAAAGAAAACCAACTCCCGATTGCGTCTGCATGACTCCTGCACGACTTTACAATTCACTTTAAGTTGGTTTTGTCATAGCTAATTAAAAGTGAGGTATTAATCGAAATCTCGCCAAAAAGCTAACTATAAGTTGGTTAGTTTTAACAATTGATAATTTTTCACTGCAGGGTGTTAAGCCCTCAAAGAAAATATACAGATAATAGTAACCTTTATTTCTTTCCTAATCAACCTCAAGTTAACTTATAGTTAGACGCATTTTCCGCAGGGAAACTTATAAAGTTATCGAGCTAAATATAAACAACAATATGTATGTATAAGTAGGCATACTAGCCCAGCGGGAAAATGTAGTGTATCGTAATCGAAAAAAATATTCAGTAAAATAGCCATTTTCACATTCGAAAATGCATTTTTTCCCCAGTGCGATGTCCTAAGAAAAATGGGCAATTCAATTATTTATTAAGCATGTAAAGCACTACTACTTTTTCCACTGGGAGTATGCCCATTGCATAGTTACATGTACAAATGTGTGTTTACATCATCAGACGGCTGCAAATTATATTGAATTGGGCAAATGTCCTTCGACTGTATAGCTAAACGTCATAAACAGCCGCAAAACGAATGCGAAATATTGATGTAAGCAAATATTTTGCATATGCAGGTATTTATGAATTTTATTTTTTTTTACATTTAAGGCTTGACAATTTTATTTACATACATACTAGGAATGCTAATCCCGGGATTGCGGGATCGTGGATCTTGGCAAATAATCCCGGGATTTTCGGGATTCGTAATTTGAACTAATGGCAATAATAGAAACTACTTTTCTTGACCAGCATTGGCTATATTTATTTTTTTATTTAATAATTAATATTTTTTATAAATGCCTAGCTCATTATACATATAACACCGAGCGATAGTAAAATTTACACACAAAAATTAATATATTCGCGAAATCGTGGGCCAAATATTGTAACATTGTGTTTCAGTTTTTCACTTTGACGTCAGTAATTCAAAAATTTTTGTAAAATGTGCTTAGAGCAGAAGTATGCGTATCAAATAAAAGAGCAAATTCTGTAGTATTTAATCAAAATAAATGTTTTGGTGCATAATTGTCCTTTCAAAAATTTATATTTGAAATTTCGCAATATATGTTTCGAATTTCGTCCTTCTAAGTTTATCAGCTAAAAAAAAAATACCTATTCGTCCTTGTGAAACCAAACAATTTTATTTTTTTTTAATTCTAAAAGAATTTCCTCTTTTATTTGGTGCCTATATTTTGATTCTACATTGCATTAAATTTTTAAATTACTTTTGGAATTATTTCTTATCTTTAAAATTACATAGTCCTTTAAAATAAATCCCGACGTCGGAGAGAAAAAATAAGAAAGCCACTTTAAATAAAAAAGTGGGTTTCAAACCCATTTACTGATTTTTTTTTATGGTACGAGAGGTAGAAGCAAATTTTTCGATTTAAGCTGTTGAAAAGTAATGAATATCGAAATCCCGCGACTAATTCCGGGATCCCGGGATTGTGATAACGACATCCCGAGAATCCCGGGATCGTAAAAAGCGAAAAAGTTAACATCCCTAATACATACATACATACGCATACGTATTTTCTCTATAAGAAAATAGATTTCGGCAAATGGCGCCTAATGACTTATATGATGAGGTGCAGTAATACATAAAGCTTATTTAAATTTATTACCATACATACATACATAAACTATAATTAAGTATGTATTTATTTTCGCCTCATCTTTGGCGCTGATTTCAAGTGATTAATTAATTATGTGTGGCATGAGTTTGCAACACAATCACTCTGCTGGGCGATTAGCCAGCTAATTGAGCAGGAAATTGATAAAATGCGCAGTGCATGCGAAATGTGGATATAAGGAAGTTAGGGGGATTTATGAGAATCATATGTTTAAGTGGATTAAATTTTGGATTAATAGACAGGTTAACATTTATATACATAACTAAGTATATTTACATAGTAAGAACTCCAATATGTAGGGTGAGTTCCTAGCAACGTAAATACATATTTACATACAGTGGAGTACTGAATGCACGGGGATAAAGGAATTACACATATAAACGTTTAATATTAATTTTTTTTTATGTCCACATAAGCCATAGCCCTTCCATATTTCCAGAATGCTTCTCGAATAAGATCTCTTGACAATGACATATAAAGAATTTTCCCAAAACCACCTTTTACCAAGTCCCAACAACTGTAGGCCTTCACTCTTAACATTAGTATTTATTGTTATATGTAAATACTATGATTGCTGCTACACTAAGAAATAAGAAATAAATGTAGTAAGAAATAAAAAGAAATGATTGCAGTCTAACTGTAGCATTTAATTTAGGCTAAATTTGTGATTTACAAAGGAAAAAAAAAAATAAAAATTGAAAAAATAATAATTTAATTCAAAAGATAAAAAAATTTTGAGAATTAAAACAAAAAAAAAAAAATAAATACGTTTCTTAAAATTAAATTAAATAAAAAAGGGTTTTCTTTCTAGGCATAAAAAATCGTAAAATTAAAAGAAAATCTGAAGAAAAAATTTAATTTAATAACGAAAAAAGCTAAAACAAGTTTCTAAACACTAAAAATTAAAATTAAAATAAATTAAGAAAGAAAAACCCGTTAAATTAAAAAGAAAAACTAATCAAATAAGTTTTGCAAATTAAATAAGATAAAAAATATAGATCTAAAAATTAAACTAAAATTTAATTAAAAAAGAAAAGAAAAATTAATAAAAAAAAAAATCCGCTGCCCAACAACTCGAACTCGAATCTCTAATGACGTGCCTATGCTTTGTTCACTCGGTAATTGCGACGGTTGGGGCGATGCGATCTAAAATATACAAGTGCCCTCTTTCAAAATAGAATTTGGAACTAATTTGCCATCTATCTTTCATTTGTCTTACGAAAGACTTTTTACTATCTTAGCAAGAATTGCCGTTTTAAATTTTGTATCCGCTTAAATGTAACGACTGTGTAGAGTGGCGTTGAGCACAATTTGCAGCTCCGTTCAAATTGGGAGCAATCTCTCAGCGCCGTTCGAGATCAAATCTGATTTTAGTTAAATCGACTCAATTTCGTTCGATTTATTAAAGTCCTTTAAGCTAGGATAACTATTGACTGCTTATTAAACTTTTTTGCTTTTCCAATGTAATGTAAGCATTTACATATCACTTTTTTCAAGTGCACACTTACATGCATATATACCTAGGTAAGTATGCAATTATTATTAATTAAAATTCATTTAATACGAAAAAAGTGCTGCAAGAAAAACATGTTTTCTCAACGCCAGCTGTTTGGGGCGCCAACTTCGCTCAGTCATCAATTTTGACAAGTAGAATTTTGTTTTCGTTGATACATACATACATGTGCACCTATGTATGTATGTATAATAATGATACTTAATAATATTTTGGCGCTAACACGTGTGCTAAGTGTATGGCCAGGCTTCTCCTCCAATTTGTGGCATGCGTCTTGATGTTCTTGCACAAATGGAGGGACCTCAGTTTTAAGCCGCCTCCGAATGGCAATTGGATTTTATGAGAAGCCATGGCAACAATACCCTCGGAGGTTTGTCATTGGCTGCCGAGGGGCGACGGATATTTGAAAACAACTTTTCTAATTCAGATGTTGCTTGGACCAGGATTCGAACCCAGGTTCTGTGGTGTATGTATGCACATTTATATGAAGGTAAGTATTTCTGATGGAACAATGTTCAATTGCTGTTAGAATGGCACAAACCTTTCGAAACGTATGCGTATTCCTTTCTATGCATGAATGCAGATATGGTCTTATGTATGAGTGGGTTTAGACAAGGCAATGCAGGTTCCTGCAATTAATTTTTTAAATTCTTAAATTTGACTGACTCCTCGAAATTAATTGCATTGCCACATCTAACAGCACTTTATGAAAGCTTGATGATGTTACATATGTTTGCCGCAGCTATAGAGATGAAAATCACTCACATTTTTCGCCGACATTTTGACGTATTCAAATGTGTTTTTATTTATCTTCTAAATATAAACTTTTTTCAAATGCTGCTATTGTTGCTATTGCCGTTATTTTTCGTGGTTTTTTCTTTAATACGATTTTTTTTGCTTCTTTTTTTTTTGAAGGTGTTTCTGCTTGATTGCAACACAGGCAAATTGCCGCCTGTCAGGTAAAACACGTAGTAGTATTTAAAAATTTGTTTTTTTAGACACGAAGTGGATTGGGTTTTTTAGTAGGTGTATGCACGAAAGGTATTGGAATAAAATTTTGAAAAAAAAATTAAAACCACTAAGCACACACAAGCAAGGTCAGTGCCGAATTTTAGTAGGCAGTTGCAAAATTTTANATGTTTTTTAGACACAAAGTGGATTGGGTTTTTTAGTAGGTGTATGCACGAAAGGTATTGGAATAAAATTTTGAAAAAAAAATTAAAACCACTAAGCTCACACAAGCAAGGTCAGTGCCGAATTTTAGTAGGCAGTTGCAAAATTTTAGAATTTTTTTTTTTTGCAAAAACTTAATTTCACTGTTATTTCGTCGTCACGGCACTTTTATTTTGAGCTACTCAATTTTGAAAAATATAATTCGAAATCTATTATTTTCTTTGCTCTTTTTTTTTGGTTAGCTAATTGCTTGTGAATTTAACGTTATGTTCGCGACAATATCGCCACTCAACTGAATTGCATACAAAATTGCTGTGAAACTTTTATGCGAAATTCTTTTTCGCATTCTGTTTTGCAATACGTTTTCTTGTTGATTTCAGAATTCTCTACATCAAACTATTCATTCTGCTGCAGATCAGCCGCTTGCCGCTTCAAAGCGAGATGAGCTCGAATGAGTGATTGTGTGTGTGAGATTTTTTAGTCGCTTTTATTTACGAATATTTTATGCTTTTATTTTATTTCCCCTATATATAAATGTAAAAGTACATACATACATACATATACATATGTATACTTTTGTTTTTTATGCTTTTCTTCGTCGACTTTGCTTAGCTGTTTTTGGTTTGTTTTGTCAATGCAACTGCGGTTTGTTTCTTATTTATTTATTCATTTAGTATTTAGTCATTTAGTCACAAATTTGGCAATGCATAAGTCAGCTGTTTCACGCTTTTACTATTTTTTTTATTCTCTCCTTTGTTTGCATTGTGTGTGCTTTTCGTCTTTCGCTGTCATTATTGTGCACAGCTGATTTCTTTCTGCCTCTTTGCCGCCATTCGCATCTTTCATCTTATTAGCCATGTTTTATAAGTACATACTTATGTATAAATAGTATGTATGTATGTGAACAAGAGAGAACTCACATACAAGCATACAAAAGTAAATCCTTCAGCTGGTTGTAGGGCTTTATAAAGCACATATCGTCGATGTTTTTGCAAAACCGCCCATCGACCAGTTGCAAAACCGCCTAAATCGCCATTGTGGCAAAAATGAGATTTGGTAACCCTGAACTCCAGACATCGAGATTTATGCATAAAAATCGTTAAATCGTTATTAAGACAATAGATTTGTAAACCAATAGCAATAGAAAATACCGTTTATCAAGGCAATGCCTTCAAAGAATAAACCGTTTTTATCTCTACTGTAAGCTTTGAGTGCCGTAAGATAGGTGGTTTTGCAATTGGGCGATGGGCGGTTTTGCAAAAATATCGACGATATGTGTATTTACTCGGGGTTCTACACTCCAAACACTCAATTGACTCCAATTCATTTACATATTTATGTATTGTTAAAATTTTTCTCGGATTCATTCCGTATATCTGTGGTCATATGCAATAACCGCCTATGTAGACTTGAGAAAGAATTGAGTTATATATGCTATCGTATTCTGCACTACTATGTGAAACTCCCATCTAGCCAGCAAGGCTATTTAAAAAGCTATAGTCGAAAATATTTTGGCTTCCCTTACATTCCAAATGTTTAAAACGTTTTTACTCGAACTGACTTTTTTCGACTTAGACGGTTATTTCATATGACCACAGATATTAAGTAAGTGTATTATGACGAGTAGTGTTTTTTTTTATTAAAAAGGTCTATCCGAAATAAACAAACCACCGCTTAAGTTTTTACAAATAGGCCTGAAACACATCGGAGAAGTGAAAAAGTTTTGTTTTCGATTTCTTTCGAGAAAATATGTCATCTTGGGCAGTTAGTTGAAACCGATATGTGCAGGTTCCGCTTACTTTCAAGATTAGTTGTTGGTTGGCTATAAGACGGCTGGGTCTAAATTGAAAAAAAAAGCATTCAGTGGAAGAACTTAGTATTACTTTAACGTCCACAAAATTTCCTATCTCTTTAAAGCCTTAAAACATCATCCCGGTCTTTTGCGTTTCCTATCAGCTCTTTGAGCGGTCCAAATTTTTGAAAAATGAAACGATATATGCGAAAAAAATAAGCAAATGTACTTCACGCCATTGGTTATACGGCCTCAGTGATTTCTTAAAATGATCAACATAGCCCTATTTTAGTCCGCGAAGAGTGCGACAGAATCATGGACCAAATTGAAGGGATGAATGGCTCAGGCTAGTAATGGGCAAAGTTGTGTTTACTAAGTATTAAGTAGTAAGTACAAAAGTATTTAGTTATTTATGTTGTAGTAAATATCAAAGTACTATTCACTGAAGTATTTTGGATATTACTAAATACCAAGTATGCTAGTATTCACTTATTTTCACAGCGCTTGGATTTTATTTTTATTCTCTATACACTTTCATTTAATTTAATTGCAGTCTTTTTTTACTATCCCTATTAATTTTTCAAAAGGAGTATTTTAACTCTATATATGTGTACGAGCTGGGAACGCGCTCGACAGATCACCTCGTATTTCTGGTTTATTTTCTAGCATTGCGCAATTGATAGCCCTAGGTATGTACATAAGTACACTCTAAAAAATCTGTTTAAAAATGCGACTATAAATCGAGTATTTTTTTGTTTATTTTTCAATTTTTTTGGAAAGTTTACACAATGAATATGTATTTTTCTCGGCTTTACACAATTCTACGGGTGAAATCAAACAGCAGATATGTATTTTGTAGCTTGTACACACTTTCGTAGTAAATTTACGCACACCACAGCAGCTATATTACACTCTAAAAAGTCCGAAATTTAAACAAACTATTCGTTGAATAATCGAGCATGCAATATCGCTCGCTAGGTAGGAAATCAGTAACCAACCTTTTAGCTAGGAAATCTACAAAATTTTTTTCAATCAATGGAGTTCCAGAGATAAGTACAATAAAAAATAAATCAAGTATTTGAACAATTTTTGCCTTGAAACGTTTTATTAGGCAAAAAGTATCGAAATTACTAATTATTCGTTGTCACTCGAAAAAATCATAATTGTCTTTTTTAAATAACTTTGGGAAGTTTTAAAATAGAATATCAATATTGGAGGCAATGGAAGTTGGCATCAAATACAAAAAAACCAGTAAAGTTTCAAGAGTGTACCACCAAAATAAAAAAAAGCAGCATGCGTACATATCTACACGCCAGAGCAACATCTGACTGAAAAAGAAAACACAATTGACCGATTGTTAAAGCTTCGCTTATTACAGCGTCCGTCTATGAGAGCTTTCACTGTATATGTATGTGCATAAGAATACTGTGTAAAAATCTTAAACGCCAATATTTAATTACTTTTAAATAATACAGCTTTTAAGTTAAGGCGTGCTAGTAAACGTTTAGTTGACTGCACATGGTGCTACGGAGCGTATACGTTACATACGCAACTACGGGTATAGGAGCACGACTGGTTATTTTTACCTTTTTTAACCGACTTCCAAAAAAGGTGGAGGTTATCAGTTCGTCGGAATATTTGTTTTTTTTTTGTTTTTTTTTTATGTATGTTACCGCATAACTTTGAACCACGTCAACCGATTTCGATAATCTGGTTAAGATCCGATTAGCGGATCATGAGATATATATATGTATATTTGTTTTTTTTTATATGAGAGTGGAAGTTGGTTTTTTTTTGCTAAAAATTACTTGTTAGTATATCTTTTTAAAATTTTCATTTACATAAATTAAATTTCTCGTTGGAATATTGTTTTATAACTAAACTGAAGATAATGCATTTTATAAGATAAGTGTGCCTCCATTTTCAAAAATGTAACAACTCGTCAGTTTGCTCAAATAAGCGGATACTTCGTATAATTGATCCCCTCAAATTCTGGGCAAATGAGCCAGTAATGAGTACAGTTATTTACCTATTATATTCTTGGGTATATTTTAGGGGAATTCAGTATTTTGGCCCTCAATTTTGCTATTACCACTTCATTTCCCATTTATTAACTTTTGCTACTGGGATATTTGCGCTTGTATGACCCTTACGACTTGCCCTTTGTGGTACAACTTTACATTGCTTGACTTTATTCACAATTATACTATATTATAATAGGGGTATTCTCTGAGTCTTGCAAAGCCCTTGCATGGTGCACAGATTGCACGGATTGCACGGTAAAAACCGGTTTTCGTATGGGACAGCTTTGCAAACCGTGCAATCCATGCACCGTGCAAGGGCTTTGCAAGACTCAGAGAATACCCCTAATATCTTTTTATTGTATATGAATTTTCTCTTCTTGTTAGCTGTCAAATTATGAGTAGAAGCGCATTATGTTTGCCACTTTATGAATTCATTTAATGCGACTGATTCAGCTTTTGTGTGCTACCAACCGTTCTGCCTCTGTATTATATATGTACATACATATATGTACATATTTACAACAAATTTAAATTCCAAGATTTGCAAAAAGATTTTATGAGCATGACTGTTCATAAGGTGCAAAAGTGCGTAGCAGCTGTGGGAAAAATACTCTTACAGTGCCTACAATAAGTTCGCAAGGTTTCAGTTCTGATACGTCAGTGATTTTCTCTCTTGTTTTTTACTTGCACAGTAACATTAAATGTAATGTTATTCCTTTCAACTGCCATTAGTGAGTAAATGACGGTCATATTTTAAGCTATTGAGATGTGTCATTAGGTTAGTGTTTGAAAGCCGAAAATTTCGTGAAATTCGATAAAAAAAAATAATTTTCGGCGCATCCATAGCTTGTGGTATTGATAATTCTTCCGATTTAGCCACCACCAACTATTTCCCGTTTCAAAATTTAAATGAATGGCTTTATGGTAAAATATTGCTCAAACAAAGCCTATTTTGAAGATCTTTGTGAGTTAAAATTAATTAATATTGAGAAATATAAATAAAGCTAAAATATGACACATAGACTTATATAGATAACTGGACTTTCATTTCAGGTATGGCTACAAATATTTTTTCGGATAAAGTCAAAATTGATACAAAAGAAAAACCCCTTTAAAACACGAAATTCGGCTAAAGCTAAATTTTCACTAGCCAACACTTGTAATGATAATGTCTAGGGGAAATTCGGCATAAGACTTGGCCCAATTATTTAAGTTTTGATATGAGCGTCATTAAAATGTTGTCGGAATTATATTAGAATTGTCATTATAGGCACTGAGAAATATTAAGAAACATAAATATTTGCACTGCGACCACTGTGGCTGAGTGGTTTGAGGCGCGTACTACCACTTCGTAAGACCAGAGTTCGATCCCTGGTGCGAGCAACATATTATATAAGAAAAAGTTTTTTCTAACAGGTAATGGTAGACCTCCGAGTATATTTCTGCCAAAATAAGTTAAGTCACTTCTTAG